GACACCACACTTCTCCTCATAGAGCCCAGCCTCTCAGATAATTTGTTCTGCATACGACGACCAAGAGAGAGCTATGTTGGCCTAGTGTAAAGGAAGCTATGCTACCAAGCCGAAGGTGGGTGATTTTCATCTGTGGCCTTCAGCCAGGTTCAAATTGTCTTCCCGTCAAAACATTCTTCTAGGTGGTATAGCACTGGTCTGTGTGTTGCTGTACAGAGGTAACTCGTGGTTGCTGTGATGCTGAAGACTGCGACAGTGATGTGCCAATTGTGGTAATGGGTACCCATGGTGGACAGTGTTGGCTGGAGCTTCCCGACTAAATTAAGCCTGGAAGCAGGAGCAGCCTCCACTTCCGAAATGGCTTGCCTCCGGAAACTATGTACGAACAGTGCTCAGGCTGTTCGTTCATAGGGTCGCTGAGTCGTCTACGACTCGACGGCATCAAACAACAACATACAGGTTGAAAAGGTATGGAGATAGGACACATCCCTGGCGTACGCCCTTCCCAATTTTGAACCATTCAGTGTTTCCTTACTCTGTTCTGATGACTGCCTCTTGGTCCAAGTATAGGTTTCTCATCAGCATGATCAAGTGTTCTGGGATTCCTATCCTTTTCAGAGTCAGCCACAGTTTGTTATGATCCACACAGTCAAACGCCTTTGCATAATCAATGAAACAGAAATAGACATTCCTCTGGTATTCTCTGCTTTCAGCTAAGATCCATCTAACATCAGCTACAATATCCCTAGTACCATGACCCCTTCTAAACCCAGCCTGGACTTCTGGCAGTTCTCTGCTGATGTGCTGTTCCACACATTTTTGGATAATCTTCAGTATAATCTTGCTTACATGTGAAATCAATGATATTGTTCTACTGTTTCTACACTCTGTTGGCTCACTCTTCTTTGGAAAGTGGTTGTTCTTCAGATTTCTTGGCACAACTTGGCGAGCACATCCAGGGCAGCATCCGTTGGCTGAAATACACCAATTGGTATACCATCTATTCCTGGGGCCTTATTTTTTGCTATTTCCTTCAAAGTAGCTTGAACTTCTTCCTTCATCACCATAGGCTCTTGCTCATATGTTATTTCATTAAATTCTTCTGTATCTGCCAATTACTTTTGATAGAGTGACTCAGTATATTCTTTCCATCTTCTTTTAATACTTCCTGGATCATTTCATATTCTTCCTAAAGCATCCTTGATTATTGCAACTTGAAGTTTAAATTTGTTCTTCAGTTCCTTGAGCTTAAGAAATGCTGAGCGAGAATGAGCAGAGTCAGGAAAAATAAGAAGCCATAACCAAACACCTCGTGGAACTAAGCTACTGGTTGAAGAGCTACAAACCATAGTCTCCAGGCACAATTAGTTCAACTGGCAAAACAGAGTCCAAAAGGCAATGTTCTACATACTATTGTAACAAAAAGGGACTGGGGTCTTAAAAGCTTGCAAGCAGGCAACTAAGATGTAGCTATTGATCTCTCCCTAATCAGAGTTAAGAAGAGTGATAAAAATCAAAGACTGAAGGAAATAATTAATACAAAGGACAAATGGATCACACAAACCAGAGATTCAAAAAGCCTGAGATCAGAACTATCACTAACAATGCTCTGACCTAGATCACAATAAAGGTACTAGACAGAGTGAGATAAATGCAGAACAAAATAAAATTCACAAAGAAGACCAGAACTACTGTTTGATAGACTGGTGGAACCTTTAAGACTATGGCACTTAAATATTAAATAGCCTTCAAATATAGAACTGAACCCATTCCCAGAAATTACCTTACAACCAAACAATATGCAAGTTCATAATTGAATAACAAATATCAATGAAGAATATGCTCCTTAGATAGAATATTAAACTACACAATACCAAAAGGGCAGCAACTGCCCAAAAGCAAAATTTAGAAGGCCAGAACAGACAAGAAAGTTTGGCAAATACAAAAGGGAACCAGGATGAGGTGGGGAGACCGGCGACACATTGAGCGAACTGGAAACCAATGTCACAAAGCAATCAATGTGTAAGTTATTGAATACTTAACAAAAAACTAATTTGCTTTACAAATTAGAAAACTTTCAATTAAGCCACAATAAAATGTTCAAAAGCAAAAATAAACAAAACTGCCATACAGATAGTTAAGTAAATAAAAGACCAGTATGTGCTGAGCGAAATTTGTCCCTGTGAAATATTCTCCCAATTCAACTTTGAAGTTCAAATCTGCTGTCGTACAGTTGTGACCCCACAGCACAGAGGAAAGCATTTTTCTTCTGTACAGAGGAAAGCATTTTTCTTCTGTAACCTTTAAGGAGTGAACTCTGGTGTCTAGTAGGGAAGAAGTTATGCTGTAACTTGTGCTGCAGGTAGTTCAAATTCACCAGTTGCTCGGTGGGAGAGGAATGGGCAATCTCCTCTCCTGCAAGTTTATAGCCTCTGAAAACCTGCTAGAGGATCACCTATGACTCAGTTCATAATATCATCAACAATCTTTAAGGAAACAGACTGCTATATCTTTCTCCTGTGGACTCACTGATAAGTTCCAAGCACCAACTCATCCATTACATCTCAACATCAAAAGAAAAGTCCTCACTAATAGGCCAATAGGCAATATCATGGCCGAAGGAGAAGAGACTCACACTGTCAACCATTTCATCTTGTTCGGATCCACAATCAACACTCTCGATATCAACAAGCAAGAAATCAAGATAACACCTCAATAAGAAAAAGGTAAACACTACAATTGCAAAGTGGACATAGGATATGAAAGGACACTTCACCAAAGACATTCAGATGAGAAACAAACATGAAGAAATGTTCAGAATCCTTAGCTATCAGAGAGATGCCAATCAAAACAACTATGAGGTATCGTCTCACCCCCGCAACAATAGCAAAGTTCAATAAGCCAGCAACAACAAATGCAGGCAAGGCTGTAGAGAGATTGGAACTTTTATTTACTGTGGTGGCTATGTAAAATTGTACAACCACTATGGAAGGCTGGCACTTTCTCAAAACGTTGGAAATAGACATACTGTTTGACCCAGCAATTCCACTATTGGAAATATATTCTAAAGAAATCAGAGCCACAACTCAAAGAGATGTATGCATGCACATGTCTATTGTCGTGTTATTCACAATTGCAAAGAGATGGAAGCAACTCATCAACAAACAGATGGATATAAAAACTACGGTACACATTCATACAATGTAATACTATGCAGCACTGAAAACCATTGAACTCATAAAATATTATACAACATAGGGAAGCACAGAGAAATTATGCTGTGGCAAAGTATCTCAGTCACAAAAGGACAAACACAATATAGCACCACTATAAAATAGGACTGGCATGGAGCAGGCTGGGAAGAGAACAGGAAAAGAGTGGAAAGATAATGAACACTGCATTAGATGAGATGAGGGGAGGAATATATGATTAGGCATTATATGTTTGACAACAATTTGGAACAACGGGTACATTGCAGAAGGTTTGAGGGAGAGAGGAGGAAAAGGAGGAAGAAAATGTGCAACAATGGGAAAAAATATTTTTAATGTTAAAAAAAAAAAATCAAGATAAGTCACATGGGAAAATTTGCTGTCAGGAACCTTTCCAGGGTCCTAAAAAGGTCCACGCTATAGTCTACTCAATGCTTGCTTTGCATTTGAGAGCTAGACAATTGACTAAAGACAACAGAATAGATGCCTTCAAGTTATGGTGCTGGAGAAGAGTACTGAAAATCCCAAAAACTGCCAAGAGAACAGTAATATTTGAGAGAAAGTGTGACCAAAGCGTTCTGTGGCAGCAAGGATGGTGAAACTTTGTCTCACATTCTGTGGACATGTTGTTAGGAGTAGCATAAAAAAGGATGCTTTCCAGAAAGACTGCTAACAGTGACATGGGATGAGCTCAAATATGTTTGAGATGGTAAGAAACAGCACAGGATACAGCAGGTTTCCGGGGCCATTGTTAATAGGATTACTTTGAGTCACAGACAACTCATCTACCCATAACAACAATGAGGATTTTAACCACTAAATTACCAGAGCTTCCAGTCTGAAGTCATGTTTACATAAATGTATTCCTCTCCCAACCCTGGGAGGAAAAAAAAAAAAAAACGGTCAGGACCCTGAGGTGATTCCCTCCTTGGAGGAACTCCTCGGTTCAGATTTCAAACACATCAACCAACTATTTGCACATCATAGGTAAATAAGTCAGGTGTCCCTCCCACAAGTCAAAGTACCAAGATGTTTCCTTTTCTTTGGGCGCCAACGGCCATTTAACCCATTCCCCAAAGGTCTAGTACTTCCCAGCAACGAATACAATGAATTATCGCAAGGGAACAAGAATCATCGAAGTGACTGCCAAAACCTAATCAGGTTTGCTCCAAAGCGTGCGCACAGACCAAGCCAGAGAAACACTCACGGGTGCTCGCTAAGGTCCGGGTCTCAAACAGACAGAACGGCAGACAGTCTGAAACCCGCCAACGCTTTGCACCCTCCCTTCCCCTCTTCCTGCTTGTTGGGATTTCCTAGCAGCTCCAAAATCCCGAGAGACTCTCTCTTATAAATGGGTCCTTATGGATTTACTTGGGCAAGAGTACGGGTTACAAAACTGGGTGGGAGTATTTGGGGAGTAAGGAATGAATGACCAGAAGAGGATGGCACCGCTAGGTGAAGGCGAGCAAGTACCGGGACGGAGGAGCTCCATCCGGCCCACACTCTTCTGGTCAGGGAGAGATAAAGCGGAATATGACTCCAGGATATAAGGAAGGGCACAGGCGAGAATCAGTGAGGAAGGCAGAAGGCCGCTCAGAACTGCAAGAGGGCCTACCCGCCGGGGTGCTCACCTGCCTAGTACCTACTTTATGCTTACCCGGCGGCGTGCACCTGCCTAGCGCCTGCTTCATGCGCGACCCGCATTGTTCTCCTGCCCAGCGTCCGCTTCATGCCCGCCCCGCGACCCTCACATGCCGAGAGCCTGCTTCATGCCCGCAATGCAGTGCTCACCTGCCTAGTGCCCGCTTCATGCCAGCGTCTGCCGCGCAGCGCGGCTCCGCCGGCCCTGTGCCCGCCAGACGCAAGTTGTGCTTCAGACGGCAGGCGGTGTCCAGCGCCCCAGAGCCCGAGCCAGAGGAGGGCACGTCCGAGGAGGCGCGACGTTCATGCTCCAAGGTGATAGGCTCGGTCCGCTTTCGCATCCCGCGGCCACTGGCCGGCCGCCGAGTGCGCCAGCTGGTTTCGCCTCTCTGCCGGCAGCGTAGTCTTCACGGCCTGGTCTTGCCGCGGGTTCAGACACCTCAGCCCCTCATATCACAGCGCAGGCCCCTTCCCCGCCCACTCACCTACTGACGTTCTTGAACCGCAGCACCACGAGCCAGTCAGCGTTGGGCACACTCAGGCTCCACCCCGAACTCACCCAGCCACCCAGTGTCTTGGCTTCTTAGCACCCATCATCCTGCGCGAGCCGGCAGCACCACCAGCCAATCATCGCTGGGAACTCTCAGGCCCCTCCCCCCAGACCCACCCAGCTGCCCTGCGTCCTGGCTTCATAGGTAGTTCGCCCATCATGCTGCGCGATCCCTCAGCCATCTTGCGGAAGGGCCGCTGTAGCTACAGCTGCGGGTCATCTTAATGGTAAACTCAAACTGCACATTCCATAGCTGGTGTGGGTTGCTTCCCAAAGGTAGGAATGAAAAGGCTGCAATTAATAACTAGCCAAAAGGAGAAATCTGAAAGCAGGCATAGTAGGCTGCCAGTCTCCCCTACCATACACTAAAAGCACAATGAAGAATTGTCTAATAAATGGGGTTTTTTATATTATTAATTTTTATTTATTTCAGTGAAAAATAAAAAAATTTCAGAGGCTTTGGATTTCCATTCATTGGTAGTTACACACTTTCCTCCCTGCCCAACCCTCCCCCAGTTCGCTTTTCTCTTTGAAAGTAAAAAAAATTTTCATTGTTATACAATGGAATACTACGCAGCACTGAAAAACAAGGAACTCATAAAATATTATACAGAATGGGTCACCCTGGAGGACATTGTGCTGAGTGAAATATCTCACTCACAAAAGGACAAATATTGGATAATGCCACTGTTACTGGAGGAAAAATGTAGCAGTTGTCCCCAGGCCTATTCTGATTTCAGGAACAGCCTGGACAAAGACCAGACCAAACAATAAATCATGATAAGGCTCTCGCCTGATCAGAAAGCCCAAACCTGAGTTAATTCACACCCCTTATTAGGCCTGGAGAGCCCTTTACTTCCTCTCCCAGAATGGCTGCTGAGAGAATCCAATCACAGGAAACAGCAGCTGTGCTGCTTCTATCTGTGAAACTACTCTACCCTCCTTTTCCCAGGAATAGTTATTTTAGACCCCAGCCACTTATCTATGTTAAAGGAAGCATTTGTAGGCATCCCCTTCCCCAGGTCCCTTGTAAGAAAATATAAAATCTCCCTCTAACTTCTAGTGGAGGCTAGTCTTCTGCTTGAGAGTCGGCCCAGCACATTCTCCTCAATAAACTTTGTTAGCCTGCACTGGGTTCTGTCCTTCCTCAGTGACCTTACAAGCCTCAAATTCCAAGAGGTACCATCTTCCCTAGCCCTTCCCAAGACCTCTATAAAAAGAGATTACATACATCTAATTGCGGTCACGTCATTTTTACTTTTCTGCTCCTGGTCATATTGGCATCCCTCTCAGTCTATGCAGTAAAGGCCTGTTCATTTCTTGGGACCATTTTGTTTCTTTCTCCCTTTTGCCCTCTACTCCTTTCCTAACATAGGGTTCCCTGACCAGCAATTGACCTAGCTGGGTATCTAGTCATAGGCCAACACCCTCTTTTCACTATGCTAAATCTGGCCAAAAAAGAGAGCAAGCCAACCCTAAATGGCTGCAGGAATGTGACCCAGGACTTTGCTGCTCTTTCAGAGAGAGCAGGCTTTCACAGCCTTATTGCTATGTGAATGGAGCAAGAGCCTTCCCGGGCTCTTTATTGGTCTGCTTGTACCCTCCAAACTAAGCCAAACTTCTCCATCTTTGCCTTACCCTTCTTTCTTTCTGTAATTGCTCCCAGAGGTCAAAGGCTATTTGCCAGTTGAGCCTGAAAGCATCCAACACCAGATACAAATCTTAACAGCCAAAAACCATCCCTCCTAGGTAAGAGCCCTTGGTCAGTCAGTCCCTCAGGCACCCAGGGACTGACCAAGTCCCCCACCCCCACCCTTTTTTCTTCTTCTCAGGCCCCAAGGGTCCCCCCCTCCTAACATCTGATAAGAGGATGCTTTCTCATTTCTTGGCTGTATCTGCTCGGTGAATTTCTGGCAGTCAGAGATATCTGATTCTGCAAGATTCTACACTCCCTGGCTCACTTTACCTCATTATAAAGAGGCCAGACCTGTCCGGGGACAGCCCTTTGTTCTGCCTCCTCTAAAACTCTGCATCTTCAGCATTACATTACATCTAATCTACCTCCTCTAGAATTTGTACATTTTCAGCATCATGCCTAATTTAAAGCAATCTCAAATTCTGTAACCTAAATTTGGCTCGTTCAATCCATCTGTCCTTCAAAACATAAATATGAAAATGGCAAATGGTCATAGTTTTCCTATGCTCAATATTCTTTACTGTCCACTTTCACATCTCTCTGTCTCTACCTCCTTGGAGTCTGCCCTGATTCCATGTTAAAATTCTCTGCAAACTCTGCAAAATTAGCACAGCAGCTGCGCTCAAATGATGACAATTGTCTGTTCTGTGCAGATCATGAGAGTGTGCCTGAGAGGCTAGACAAACTCTCTCCTTTTTCCTTAGGATGTAAAATTAAAATTAGAATGATATACAGGTCGTGCCAGGTGAGGTCGTATGACTGCGTTAAATATTTTAATTCTTTGATGTAAGTGTCTGGGTATGTCGAGAAAGAGCTCAAACGTTTTTTGATTTGGGATAGGTTTGAGAGGGAGTAGGGAAGGTGTACTTTAATAATTCCTTCTACATTTGTAACTTTTTTGAGCAGGAACAGGGGAGCTGTTTGTTAACAGGCATTAAGAGCAGGGAGGTGGAGGTAAGGGTTTGAGTCAGAGGAGTCTTCTTGTGAGGAAGTGTTTTGTGAGTGCTTATTCGTGTATGGTGCAAGTGAAGAAACAGCGGGAGATTCTGAGTGATCAGAAGAGGGAGGTGATGTTTTACTTGCAGGTCAGGGTTGAAAAAGGAAGAGAGTGGTATTTTAGTTGCAGAAAATATTTTTTTTTAACTAGAAATTTGAACAGGATGAGGAGACAGAGAGGGAAAAGCAGAGAGTGAAAAAGTTTTGCCTGCATTTCCAGGCTGGGTCTGGAAGGGGCTGAAGGAGAGGAAAATGGGAGGGGCTTTGGAGAAGAGGCAAGGGCTTCCTGTGGCGATGCTATATTTGCATATGGCTGAGGTGGGGGAGCAGGAGCAGTAGGGGTTACTGAGAGATCCACAGAATCAAAGGTGAGGTAGTGTTCTTTTTTTATTTTAATAATTTTAATGAACATTTACAGAGATTTTGGATTTCCATTAATTCATTGTTGCACTTTTCTCCCTGCCCAGCCCTATCCCCTTCCTCTCCGCCCCCCCAGTTTGCTCCTCTCTTTGAAAAGTAAAAGAAAAATTCTTTCTTTGATATACAATCCCCCCACACCCCTCCCACCGCCCCAAGTACACTCCACTATGCCACCTTAATTGTGGACTCTTGTGATAACCATAATACCCTATCATACATCACTTTTAAATTATTCTTAGGTGAGGTAGTTTTAATCAGGAAAGGGAAAAGGATTAGAATTAAAGGAGTTTACAGCAGAGAGAGCAAGTGAGCAAGCTGAAGTTTTGACAGAGAGAGGGAGAGAGAGCATAAGAGAGCGAGAGAGAAAATATTTTTGACCATTTGTCATTGCAAAGGCAGAAATTGTTAAGTCTCAGAGTGTTAAACTCAAGTGTCCCATTTGAAGGCTATGAGACCTATTATTTATTGTGGCTATGCTGTGTCAAGGGAGCAGAGGAGACGCCCCCAGTGGAGTATACCAAGAAGGGCAGGACCCTGATGCATCAGCAGCCCTGATGGACTAGCAGCAGCAGAACAATAAGATGCCTCAGCAAAATGGACAGCAAGAGGACAGGTGGAGAGCAGCACAACACAGACAGAGAGCAACTCAGGCAGTCAGATTTGCTGAGGATGACTGACTTGGTAGCTTAACATCTGTGAACGGACACCAGCCCTGAACCCCTGATGCACCTAAGCTCTGCCCTCTGCTCACCCTCATGGCATTTCCCCATGCCCCCACCCTCGCCACAGCTGCACATGGCCCCAGCCCTGCCACATTTCCGCACCACCACACCCCCGCCCCCAGTGGCAGCGCCATAGCCCTGTGCCTCAGGTGGTGCCCCAGGGCCACTAGAGAGTCATCCACACCACACAGAGACCCATCAACACAGCGAGCTATGGACAGTAGGATTTTGAATAAGAACCTTTTTTGGAACAATTCATTTCAGAGCTACAGAAACACAAAGCCACGCCTCAGATCCAGCCATCACCCAAAGCCACCAGCCAAGCTGCTGTAGGACTGATCAGGCAGAAGAAAGGCCGGTAGGATTCTTACTGGGTTTTCTTGGGCACCACAGATTGCCTGGGAGAGATCCCAAGGTTGAGCCCACTGGTGGGAATTTGGCTGAGCTCTCTTGGGCCACATAGACTGCCCAGGAACCAGCAGGCCAATGGAAATTTATCTGAACTATTGTGTACACAGCAGACTAGCCAGAGGTGAGTGGGTCAATGGGAATTTGACTTTGACTTCTTGGGTCCTGTTGGACCAAGGACGCTGCTTGGGCAGGGGTCGCTGTATGAGGGCACATGGATAAGTGCCGCTGGGAAGGGACCACTGAGTGAAAACCACTAGATGGGAGACACAGCTGAAATTTGAGCAGGGACCCCAATCATGAGCACACCTGGACAGCTGAGGTCTGAATGAGGTGGCCCAAGTGGTTGATCTGTCCTTGAGATCGCCCCACCCTTGTGTCTGCCCCACCCCATTTGGCTCCACACCTGTGCTTACACGTCTGGTCAATTAACTTGCCTTTAATCCAGAGCACTTGACCTGACTTACCTACAAGAGACTGCTGTCACAGGCTCTGAAATGACATTTCCATGGAGTCAGAAGTTCAGAGAAAGACACAAGTGGGGTAGCT